CTTATATATATATATATATACAAGTTGAAAATACAAAGAAAAGAAATAAAAAGATATTTTTAAAGAGGAGCAGAACTTGTCATATGAATAAATAAATTAAAATGTAGAAATATTTATGTTGAAGCAATGTCTTTTCCGAAAAAAGTATTTTGATTGTGTTTTTTGATCACTGGCATGTTGCACTGTCACTTACTTTGGTTCAATTTTACTAGCAGATTTAAACAAGAAATATTAGCTGTAATAATTTTCAGCATTTAGCTTCAGTTTAGAAGAAATGCTTTTTAAGCTGAGCAATTTTTTAGTTATCACTCTTGCCATCATTTCTCTTTCTTTTCCTAATTTAATTAACATCCTAGTTCTTATAAAAATAAAAGATATAATAAACTCAAGCTATATTTTAAAAGTTGCTTCCATTTTATGAAAAATACTTTCCTACAGTGATACAATGTGTTAAACCATTTTAAATGGTCTGTAACAGTTCATATTTACCATGAAATAACATACATTCCTCAGCATTAATCTTATAAGTTTAAATAAAATTTTGTAGCAAGGCCATGGTTTAAGTTAAGGTCATTAATATTACATCTACACTATAAAAAGTGTCAAAAAAGCTCATAAATGTAATAGTCTAATCCAAAATTTATTGTATTCAAAATAGAAACAGCATTATACTCATTATTGAGCAAAATGCATTCAGAGGTAGAAATGTGTGAGAGATATGTGCGTTGTCTGCCGCTGGATATGAACCCAGGACTTCCTCGTTCGCAGTTGGATGTTCTAACAACCATTGTCGTACATACAGCAAAATCCAGGAACCTTTCATAAAGTGGCCACCGCAATGAGAAATCATTACGTACATTTCTTCCGTTCAAAAGTTTTTAAGATATAGTGAAAAATGAAGTTTTAAAACTGAATTAATCTTTGTAATAGCTTTTTGGTCTATTATAACTTTTCTGCTTCTTAGTTACCTAACAAGACAATAATAAGACGTTGAAGGAAATTCTGAAAATTTGACATCACAGAACAACCAGGTTGCATCCAACTCTGGTGGTAATAGATCCTAGATCCAATAAAAAGTATAAATATATTTTTACACCACCGTTTTAGATTTTACGTGTCCGCACTAAGAGAAAAAGAATGGTCAAAACTCCTAGAATGTGGTAAAATTTACCATGCTTCTAGTTCCATGGGAACACCAAAAAAAATCTCAGTAATTTTACATAAGCACTTTGGAAAAACTGATTTTGATAGATTTAACAACAAAATATGCTTTTATAATGTGTGATAAAATTTGGAAAATGTGATTAAATTTGATAATTTTATTATGATTCCATAAATCATGGTAAAGAAAACCAATTATTTCGTTAAATTTACTTTTCAGTTTTGTATTTTTGTTAAATCTTGGGAAAAAAGAACTATAATATTTAAAACCAGAATTTTCGGTAAACCGTTACCATATGAATGGAAAAATAACCAAATGAATGGTATAAATATCTGATTTTCAATCTTTCAGTTTGATATTATTACCAGAATTATGGTTCATTTTACCAGAAGTATCATTACTATATATTACCTGAATTTTACCAGAATTTTTCCCTTCCTGCGAATAGCTATTTCCATTAAGGCAAATTTACTAATTATATGTTATTCAAGTTTGACAACATAAAGTTATGTCTTAAAAGTAAGGTTTTTCTTAATAAATACTTTCAAAAAATAATGAGATTTTTTAAGGCAATCATTAGTTGGTGTTTAAGTTTCCGAATTTACATTCAACGAAACCGCACCAGATTTAAATAGCCAACATTATATCTGAATACTTTATTTACATCATTTACATGCGAAATAATCAAACTAAAACAAAATATTTTAACTAACGGTTCCATATTATTTTACTGCACTATCTGATTTTCAATATTCTAAAAAGAGAATTTAAAAGACATTTGCCATAAGTGATCATATGAAGAAAGCTGAAAGGCCATTAGTCGCCCATTTTCGGAAGTAGAATTCTCTGGAGGGTAATATCTTGGAAAATGGGATAGCTAAAATTTAAATGATAAGTTATTTAGATGCATACATTAATGTTTCGAATCTTTCAAACTTTCCCTCAAGCCATTGTCAACAAGACAGCGATTCAAGGAAATAACTATCGCTTAAATCTTCTTACTCAAAAAAATATCTAATTAAATGAATTGCTTTCAAAAAAAGAACTTTACAAATTTTCATTCATTAGTTACTTTTAATAGTTTCTCGTTTGGCTTAATTGGCTATATGTGCTAAAAATAAACCATTATTATTGCTCACATTTTAGACTAATAAAATTTTTGGTGTACCTTTGATAATCAACAGATTTAATTATACAAATTATCATTGCTGTTTCGTGCTTGTGCATTTATTTAGATAATTTAAAACAGTAAAATATATATTTAATTACATTGTACATACATAATATTTCGGTTTGAATTCTTGTTGAATATAAACGACTAATTTTTTTTCTTGCGCATTATGTTTATTATCTACCATTTTACAACAGTGAGTGTTGGCATAATTAATAACTTTTAAGTTATTACTGACTTTTTGAATTAAATTAAATTTCAATGTCGTCTTTAAAAAAAGTATAGTACTAGTATAATTGCTTTCTTTACAAGTAATCTTATTTTCATTTTTTTCTTACTAAGGCATAGAATTAAAACATGAAAATAAAAAAAATGCTTTATGGTAAGGAACAAAAACTCGAATATTTGGTGCTTAAAAAATAATCACAATTAAATAATTGTATTGGATTAGTTTCAGTTGTAGTCAATATAGTAAACTATCTGAGGATTCAAATCAATGAAGAAAATTACTTTGAAAATTACGAATTACGCAGTTACAAAATTTTATGCAGTAAATTATTCTTAACAATTAAGGAAAAATATTCAATGTAACAATTTTTAACTTTATTTCTTTTCAAATTTTTAGTGAAATGAAAGTACAACACTTCAACATTAAGTATGTGTGTTTTCTAATTTTGAAATTTATTTAAGAGCATCGGCACTATCTTAAATGCTTAATGCGTCCTTAAGATATTCGCAGTCCAAAATTCTCTTCCGTGTCGTAATTGGGTCATGATAAAGAATTTCTGACTTTTTTCGCTTTTTCATTTTCGTTTTCTAAAGTCAGATACATTTTTTTAAATAACAGTGGTAATAATTTCACTTAATCTGTTTTTATAATAATAATAATAAAGCAGAATT